GTAATATTAGAACGTGTTGTTTAATGATAAATGTTTGGTATGATTATTCTACGTTAAAATGTTATTGCTTTTATTAGTATTTTAATTATGTTATTATGAATTAATATACATATGCATAAATAATGGTGTTATATTTAATGACAATCTGTTTAATTACGTTTTTTGTTGAATAATAGCGTTATTTTTTTAATAAACATGATTGTTTTCAGAGTACTATTAATTCTGAAATTATGGTATACATATATATATAGTGGTGTTATATTGACAATTTGTTTTAGTTGCATTTCTCCCCATAATTACAGTGTTATTTTAATAAAAACGTGGTTGTTGAATGCTATTAGTTCTGAAATTATGGATTAATATACGGAATTATGAATATTGGCATTTTGAACGGGTGATTTTTTTTTTTTTTACAATTCTGTTCGAACAAAGTTTTTATTAAATAATAATAAAAACATTATATTGAGTTCTGAAATCATGAATTAACATACATAAGTATATTATGTGATTTGAACGAGTCAAAATAATTAAAACCCTAAAAAAATGCCAAAAATAGAATTCTACAAATAGGTCATAAATTTAGAATTTTGAAATTCTGTCGAACTCCGATTGACCTCAAATTTGGTAGGTTCATCGGAAACGACCCATTGAGCAATACTCATCAGCTCCGCTCATGACGTACGTTATTTTTTGGGCACTCGGGATTGTTTGAATGGGTTTTTGGGGTATTCGGGGTCGTTTAGATAGGTTTATCGAAAACGACCAAGTGAACAATACTCGAATTAAGAAATATAAAATAATATTGACTAGAAGTAGGATTTATATTCTTTTCGAGTTTTTTTCTTCATCTATTCATGTATTGTTTTTGTCTTTGTTTTTATTTTTGTTAAAATTGCATTAATGTATTTGAGTTACTTTTTATTATGATAATATTGTTACAATAATTATTTATTTATTTCTTCAATATGACACCCTTTAAGAAAAATTATGCATACAACACTAATTAAAAGAGTATGTCAGCAAAAGTGAAGTAACAATTTTTGAAATTAAAGATTTTAGATATAAAAGTTGTTATTTTTTAAAATTGATTAAAATGAAAAGAGTTTCATATAAAATAGAAAGAGAGAGAGAATGTGTAACAGTATCATGACTAGGAATTCCGTCAAGGGTGATCAAACTTTAAATATGTCAATATTTTTTTTCTTTGTCGATAAATGTTGTACCAAAATTTTTAGATCAAACTACGCAATATTTAGCTAAACAATAATTTTTTTAATAGAACTATAATTTTATAAATCAAAATTAAAATAACAAGACAATATTGGAAATTTTGCTAATAAAAATAAGCATAAAATTAAATAAAAGAGAGAGTCGAGAAGATTAGTAGTTTGTAGAGAGCTTTTGTTGAAGAAATTTTTGTAGAGCTTGACTTTTAAATTATAAAATTAATTTAAGAAATAATTTTAGTTAAAAAATTACTGTTAAGATCAGTTGCTTATTTATACATAAATTTAGGTTTTAAAAGTTATTTTATTAGGAAATTTTTTTGATTGAAAAAGAATCAAATAGACCATACATAGCAGTTTTTGTGTAGTTTTGGCAAATAAAATTGGCAGAACTCTGAACTCGTGAACAATACGTCACTTACGTCACTTTGAACACCCTAGACCGGGGAACTGCCTCACTCAGCTATGTTAAGGGTATACAATATATAGTCATATGAAGTAATATTTAAATTATATATACAGTATAATTTTTCGACAAAGAGTGTGTATTGACCATCCTGAATACAGGGCGGCTACGCCACTGTATAATATTTTAACAAATGGAGTATTAATTTACTACTCCCTCCGGTCCAAAATAAGTGATTTTTTGGATGTTTTCACACAGATTAAGAAATCCACCTTTTAGCATTAATTAGCAATAGAATTGATCATATTAACCTTTACTGTCTCACATAAACACCCCTAACACATATTCCAACACTATTTACTCCAAGGACAATGTAGGAAAAAAATAATTAATTCATTCTTGAAATCTGGAAAAATTACTTATTTTGAACCACAAGAAAAAGGACAAAAGATCACTTATTTTGGACCGGAGGAAGTATAAATTAGTACTCCCTCCGGTCCAAAATAAGTGATTTTTTGGCCTTTTTCTTGCGGTCCAAAATAAGTGATTTTTTCAGATTTCAAGAATGAATTAATTATTTTTGCCTATATTGTCCTTGGAGTAAATAGTGTTAGAATATGTGTTAGGAGTATTTATGTGAGATAGTAAAGGCTAATATGGTCAATTTCATGGCTAATTAATGCTAAAATGTGAATTTTTTAATTTGTATAAAAACATCCGAAAAATCACTTATTTTGAACCGAAGGAAATATTCCACAACATCACAATATATCGAATTTGCATACCGTCATATGCGAGTGCGCGGTGGCATGAAACTTCGTGCCTCTAATTGTGACTACCAAAAAACTTTCTGACGAAAATTTCGAATAATATCCTAACACTTGAGTTGTCTCGGGGCAGGTGAAAGCCTCTTCACGATAAAACTCACGAGTTGCTAAAGAGAGTAGACACGTTTCGATTTCTCAATCGATGACAGCACATGCTTTGTGGTACCACCAACAGGTAGGACAATGGCATTTGGTACACAATGTGTTTATCTAAATCCTCGCACGTGGTACGTACCGGTACGACCGGCTATTCACCTCTTCTTTAGGTAAAACTCTCTCACTCCCCCTTATTTTAGTAGACATGAAAACTGTACCATATGAATTGTCAATAATACCCCTGGTCATTTTCTTCATTACAAGTGTTAATTGTGGGGTGTTCGGAAGTTTTTTGTTGATTTTGATGGATGGAATTTCTTACTAATAAAGCTTTTTGACTTATTGATATTTTTATTATATTATATTTTGAATATAACACAAACGCATTATAGACATCTTGAAATTAAGATATAAGCCATGCAACACTTTCGCATTTATTTATTTTAGAAAAAGGGATATCTAACACATGTGACGATTTTTTTTTTTTTTTTTTCAGGAAGTTGAAACTTAGATGAAGAAGGAGACTTGTTGTAATCAATAACTAGATTGATACAAGTCTTATGAATTTGTGCCTCATCGACACTTTTCAATGTCTGCAACATAGTGTGTACAATTTTCAAATAAACAATTAAACAAAATTATTATTTTTATTTCATGAGAAATGGTAGATTACGAGACTTTCGACACCCAATTAGATGAAAAGGGGAATTCTACTCGCAGTCAAATTTTTTAAACATATACATAGGAAGGCTAAAAGAACACGTGACTCATGACTGTAAATCTGTAATTAAGTAGGGGTACCACCGTCTAGGGTTGTCAATAGATATTTAAAAATGGACAAATAATTAAGTAGGGGTACCATCGTCTAGGGCTGTCAATAGTTATTTAAAAATTAACTAAGCTGTACCGTACCGTACCAAACCGATTTCTAAGTTTCTTTTAATAAAATTGTATATTTTTATATAAATCTATAACGTACCGATAATTCGGATAGATTTTTTATTTTATGAAAATAAATCAAAAAAATACCGAACTGTACCGAATAAATTTACATGTGAAAAATATATTTATATATTAAGTTTAAAAATAATAAATTACTAAATTTTTCCGTGGGCCTTGGAATTATAAACACGGTTACAAGTGAAGTAATTAAACTCAAATTACCAGCCTATTATGCTACTCATGTTAAAGCTAAACTATTTCCAGCATATTAACTAGCAAGACACAAGGTATTCTAACGGTTAAGAGTAGCAAACAACAGTGTATTGGATATGTTTCATTTCGTATGATTTTAGATTTATCTTTTTGAATATTTAATTTTCCATAGACTTTATTCCTGACCCTAACTTTACTATCTTTTCACTCGTGTGATTTATATTTTCTTTATTTTTACTTAGTTTCTTTTACGCTGTTGTAGAATGGTTAATGGATCTATACTCTGACCATCTTTCATGTTCTTAATTCATCACTCTTTAAATAGTAAAAATATATAGAGTGTTGCTTAGTCCTATAAAAGTACGTATGTTATTACATTCTACTTCTACTAGTGACTTTTACATAAGATTTAAAAAAAATACCGAAAATTAACAGAACCGTACCGATAACGAAGAGAAACCAACGTAACTAGGACAATTTTGAAAAGTCTAATTTTGGTTATATGCAATAAAAAGATCGAAAAATTGATATAATACTAATTTTATAAAATAATCGGTCGAACCGAACCATTGACACCACGTCATCTCAAGTTTAGAATTATTTTTGTTTTCTCTTTCTCATCGTACGACGACGAAGTGGGCAGAATTAAAAAGAATTTAAATTTTATAGATGGACTGTAAAAAATATTTATACAATTAAAGCACTTATTAAATAATTAAAAATAAATCGTAATAAGTATTAATCTGTAATAAAAATAATTATTAATTTGTTATTACAAATAAATTTTTACTTTGTTTATATGATTTTATCCGTACTTATAACTTAAATCCAAAGAAAAAAATTTGAATTCAATATACAAAATGAAGTGCATACGCACCCCAAAACCAAAAGGAAAAACGTTGATTAAGCCACTAATAAATAAATAAAGGATTTAAAAAAGAAAGAAAGAGAAAAGCCATCAACTTCTTTATTTGCTGCAGTTAGAAGCATTTAGGCTTTAAAATAAATAAACATTGCCCTTTCTCCTTCATTCCTTCTTACTTACCTTTTTCTTTGGGTTTCTGGGGTTTGGTGTTTTGAGCTTTGTGGTTTTGATCTGCTTCTTTGTGAGGTTAAAACTTTTGTAATTTTAAAATTTAGGTACTCTTTGAAATTCTTCGAGATGGAGAGAGATTTTATGGGACTGAATTCTAAAGATTCTGTTGTTTTGGTTAAGGAAGAACCTGTTGAAACCTGCAAAGACTCTGGTTCGTTTTTTTACTTTCCAATTATGAATTAAACTGATATTTTCTCTTTGTTGTGAGTATAGAATTGTGAACTTTAGTAGTATTATCTAATTTGTTATGTTCTTTAATGCATGAGTGTTGATTCCAGTTGAATTAATGTAGACAGGTGAAAGCAAAATGTTTCTTTTGGCTCTATGTATTTATGCTGCCTAAATTGAGTATTGTGTGTTGTTAAAAGTTTCTTGTTTCCCTTGTTGTGGGGCTTTATATTTCTGTGCGGTTGCTTGGGGACTTGGTTTTCCCTATAAAGATGCAATTTCCCTGTCAAAATTTTGTCTAGCCTGGCAAGAAAAGAATTTATAGTTGCTAAAAGCTAACTTCTGAGTTTCTGATTTGGTAAATTTTTTATTTTCCAAGAAGTTTGAAAAGAAGATGAAATTTTTGAGCCGACGGTCTATCTGAAACAGCCTCTCTACCCCTCGGGTAGAGGTAAGGGTTGCGTACACACTACCCTCCCCGGACCCCACTTGTGGGATGTTATTGGGTCGTTGTTGTAGTTGTTGTTGGAAGAAGTTTGAAGTATAAGCTTATAAAAAAGGAGATCCTTTTGATATAAGAACAAATAAGGAAGTCGGATTAAAGTCTGAGGATGATGGTTGGATTAATTGATTTTGCCATGGTGAAAAAGGTGAGTATGTCCTAAGAAGGTTTTTGCTGAATTTTGCTTTTGGTAGTTAATATGTTTTTTAGTTAAATCTTAAGTAAGAAACTCTTAATTATTGTTGATTGAGTTGGATAAAATGAAAGATTTCCTTCCAATTCTGAGGTAATAAGTGTATCAGATGGTTATAGTTTTTTGTACTAATTGTTTGTAGTATGTATTATGTTAAAATGATTATTTTTTGTATCAGGGTTTCGCTGGCCGTTGTCGAGCAAGGTGGGTATACCTCATTTCATGTCTTTGAACTCTGCTCAAGATGAAAAACCATTCAAAGCTCAATCCGCTGCAGATGGAGTTGACAGTTGTCTCAAACGCCAGTCTGGTGAAATCCAGGTTTGTAGAGTCTCTATAATTGCACGGGGATAGTTTTGTATATAGTTGTATGAAATCTGCATGACATGCAAAGGAGAACACTCAATTTTGCCATTTTTTTAGTGAAGTTATTTGTCATTAATGTTCCACGGAAGTTTTATCTCAAGTCACAGGAAGAAGATTAACCAAAAAGTGGCTTCGGCTTATCTCTAGTTTTTGTGTCACTCATGTGCGGAACGATACTCCGAATTAGTATCCAATTGCAATGAGTTGTCGACAGTCTCCTGCTTTTATTGTCTCTATGAATTTCTTTTAAAATGATTTGCACCCCTTTTAAATCCATTTGGGAAGAAAAAATAAGTCGCCAGGGGTAACAAGGAACTTGTTTATCTTGACACCTTATAATTTGCAACAGAATGTGCATGCAATGCATCTTCTCCATGATGTTATGATGCTTCCGTTTAACAGGAGCAATCCCTCCTACAAGACTCATTTTGGTGGTACTGGCCAGATATCTGCAGCTGCGACAATGAAGCAGCAACTTCTTGGGGGAATCCCTGTTACAGCTCCTCACTCAATACTTCCATCGAGTGGCTCTGTGGCTGGGATAACTGAACCTTGGTAAGTTCACCATTTCGTGCACACAGAGCAGACTGCATATATTGTGTTATGGAAGTCATATTTGGTAGTGATAATGAGCACATCAATCTGCAGTTAATACCAATGATGACTGTAATGCAGTTGCTCGTGATGCTATTAATTGAAAGACATACAAAAAATTAAGACAACTTGGCTAGAAAAGTCCCAGTGAATTAAAACAGAAATTGAAATTTTTGTCCAAAATGTTGTACATCTTTTGCAGGTTTAATTCCAAAGGTTCTGCAGCACCTGCTCAACTGACCATCTTCTATGGTGGAACAGTCAATGTCTTTGATGATATCTCCCCTGAGAAGGTACCTTCGTTCTTGCTCTCACGTGCACACAAACCTGATGTAAATAAAGGGAAGCATTAACCAGAAAGAAAATGCAATGAGCTAAGTTTCTCTGAGGTTTATATTTGCCTGGGTATATTACGCAGGCACAGGCTATTATGTTTTTGGCTGGAAATGGTTGTGTTCCTCCTAATGTGGTGCAACCAAGGTTTCAAGTTCAGGCATCTACACCCAAACTTGCTGCCGTAGACGGCACCTGTGTGAACCAAACCTCAAACATACTACCTGCCTCAGGTCATTCCAGCCCTATGTCTGTTTCTTCTCATCCCATTGGTCAATCTGCTGGCAATTCTGGAAACAAAGATGACATGAAGATATCTAAAACTGCAAACATTTCAGTGGAGACTCCAAAGATTATGACATCACTAGGACCTGTTGGGGCTTCTACCATAATGTCAGCAGGTATATCTTAAATGCCGGATTGGAAACTCAGAACTTTTTCGTGATGTAAAAGCTTTCCTTTTTGATACTTTCTAACATACTCTGGTATCAAGATATTGCTAGTTGTATTGGGTTGACTCTACTACATTAGAAGTCCATCACGTCCTCCATAATGCCCCTTAATCCTGTGCTTAATTTTTCCTCTTTGCTACCTCTTGTAAGATTCCTCTTAATGCTCTTCAATAACCTAAGCATTTATTTCTATTCCAGTTATTGCAACAGCTAATTATGTTGTTCCGAAGTGGAAGTAATTACTTTCTTGATTTCTTTTACAGTCACTTAAGTTATTCTAGAAAATCTTTTAGTTTCAATGCAACTGCTTTAGCCGAACCTCATTGCTTCTTATTATATACATTTTCTGCAGCGGTTCCACAGGCAAGGAAAGCATCTCTGGCTCGGTTTCTGGAGAAGCGGAAGGAAAGGTAAGTGAAATGTTTCCTGTTTTGAGTTCTTGTTTTCTTTTATGCTTTAATTTAGGTGTGCATGTGCAGTATAACTATCATTAGTTCAGGTGTTCCTTTGCTGTATAGCTATCTTTGGCTAGCTCTCTCGTAGCTTTTTAGAAATTATTGAATGCATTAGTATAAAGGATCAATCTTTTGGATAGTAGATGAGATGACCACCGAAAATATAAATTACCACAAAACTAATTGTTCTTTCTGATCGTCGTTGACCATTTGAAATATGGTTTATAGCTATCTGGCTTTTGCTGAGGTATTGTTTTAGTCTATGATTTGAGACACATATAACTGCATCTCCATCAATTGGATACTCATGAATACAACAAGAACACAATGTAAGAAAGTCTTGAGATTTAAGTGCCAATCATGTTTGCAGGGTGATGAACGCTGCACCATATGGCCTCAGCAAGAAATCGGGTGAGTGCTCCACCCCAGAGTCTAACGGAGTTGGTTTCTCTGCAACTTCCAGTGTTGGTACTAGTCCTCTGATAGCCGGTAAGGAGACCTAGCTATGATGTCTGAAGGCAGCCTATTGCCATAAACCATTGAAGCATAATCTATTTTATTAAGCAAGTTAAAAAGCTGTAGCTATCAAGTTTTGCTGTTTGAATTGTAATATCAACTTGGTTAGCTTTAGCCAGACTTCCTAGTATCCGATTTGTTTGGTCTTTTGCTGTACTTAATTCTCTTTCATCTGAACCTGATGGAATTCTCCTATCGAAATGACTTCCGCACTTTGTAACTATTTAATATTTTGTTTCCCAAGTATATATTAATATTATTTAGTAATTACATAGTTCCTTATAGTTTTTTTAGTCAAGTCCTGGCTTGGTAAGCAAGCTATCCATCGTGTGGGCGCCTAACCCCAAATTCTCTCCTTTTTTTTTTTTTTGAAATATCACGGTCAAAATGGAAGGTTGTTCTCTGGGCCTCAGCCATGCTCGGGAAATACTTTTCAAGTATTCTCCGTGAGGATCGACTCGAGTAGTTCTAAAATTAAGTTTTGGATCTTCTCTTTTTCAAGATTTGATTTAACCATTGCAGTATATTCGTTTCGCAAAGTGACACGAAACCCCTTATTTGAAGCCAAATTTAATTTGCTTTATGAGAATATTATGTGTGGTATAAAATAATAAAAGAATAAGAAGAGTATTGCAGAAAAAAGTAGGGAGAGAGAATTCTTATTGATTTGTGATGAATTACAATGGAATATGATCTCTCTATTTATATGGAAAGAGTGACTTAGCCCCAAGTAAAATTCCTAAAATCTCTTTAAAAATAGACATTCACCATAAATTCAATTCTATTTATAACAATGTGTGCTTTATGAGAATATTATGTGTACCAAGTTATAAATGTGTTGTCTATCTTAAACAAATAAGCTTCCTTTCAAATTGAAAAGAATATTAAATTGGTGGAAACAAGAAAATATTCTATTTGAAGGTCAAAAATTTATTTTGGACCAAACATGCTAAAATTGGATATTTTGGTGGAGATAAGGAAGAGATTCATTTAACGTCACTATTCACTAGTTGTCAGTACACGGCTTTCGCGTGCAAAAGGGTCAAAATCATTAAAAGCTTAAACATATGATCCAACCATGTCTTTGAGTGGCTGTCCTTTTATATTTACATAATATAATTTTATGTCTATGGTGGTGGTTGATATCAAAATCTTTTAAGTAATTCATTGCCTGGATATTGCTTTACAAATTGTAGCGCGTTTTACATTTTCTTTCCCTTCTGTGGGCCCAAGTGTTTAGTGATTGCTTGGCAGTTGTAAATTTTTGTCGTACCTGTCACGAATTGACACCAAAACATGCTTTTATTGGGTTTCCCTATTTCAAAATATGTGAAAAATAAGGGGAAAACCAACGGCAATGGATTAGGTCCTTTTTCTATGTGGTACTTTCGAACCACAAGATAAGAAAATAGTTTGGTGTGACCACCCTACAAGTGTTGGTGTGAGAGAAAATATCTTGGTTTTTTGAATTATTACAGTCAAACCTTTCTGTAACAGCCTCGTTTGTTCTGAATGTTTTTGGATTTTATAGTGAAGTGTTGTTATATAGAACATATATTATAACATAACATGAAAATTGGTTCCGGAAAAACTTTGATTTTATAGTGAAAAGTTGTTATATAGAGATACTGTTATAGAAAGGTCTGACCGTAAATTGTTTTTATCCACAGATACTAACCATCCTATACTCTTTAAAACAAATGCACTCAAGAAGAGCTGCATTAGATACTTTGCTTAAAGGCTTATTTTGCTGCTGCTATCTATCTATGATATATGGATTGAAAGGAACACTCGAGTATATCAAAACAGAGCTACGTGCAGAGAGACAATACTGCATAATTTGAGGACTACTATATGCATCAAGGTTAGGAGGAATAGAAAACTGTTTGATTTTGTTTCTTCATTATAGCTTGTTTTGTAAACAACGCTGATTTGACATGTTCTAAGAAGGGTTTAAACTGGTTGTTTGCCCTTGGTTTTGTACAGTTACTTGGTAATTAATAAATGCTTTTGTATTGGGAAAAATTATATTTATATATAAAGGTGACGTGTCAAGACACGTAGATTGGTCAAATAGTCAAAGAATTGCAATTAGCTAAGAGTCATGAGGTGCAACAGGAGCGAGCGAAGAAAGAGGAAGAGGCACGGGCAATCAGACAAACAACTCGGTGCCCGTACCTATTTAAGTCATTTATATTCGAGAATCAGAAGGAATGAATCTGACAATGGAAAAGAGTATGGATACAGCATTTTATGGGTATTAAATGCTAAGTACGTTAGAGAATATGTTTTAAATGTAATGATTGTGTAACGTAACATTCAATGTCTTTAATTACTCATAACAGCCTCATTATAAGGAAAACGTATATTTCCAAAGGAATCTATAAAAGGGAGATGTATGATCAGTTGTAAGGATACGAGATACTATTGGAATAGACAGTGATTTATTTGTTTCTCTTGATTATCATCTTGCGATCCAGAATTACTTCTTTTTATTCATTTTCTTGATTATCAGTAACCCGAGTTCTTCTAAATTCTAGCTTTGACTAAAATCCCATTTTTTGGTTAAACAAATTGGTTCCATTACCGGGAATCTGATAATCTATTTTTCGCTTAACTTCCCTTGTTGCATCAACTATGTCGAACAACAATGATAACACTCAAGGAAACTAAATGAATCAACAAAATCAGGAAGATCCACAGCATATTAACGCTCAAGTTTCTACTCCACACGGCTCACCACGACAATCTCGTGAGGGTNGGCTCACCACGACAATCCAATATCATATCCAAAATCTGGCATACCAAGTAAGGAAAGATCCACTCGAACCTCTAATTCGCAATAATCGCTAACGGTACCAATACACACGATTTACAACAACTGCATAGCCGGAACACGAGAACTCCTAGTCTCCAACTCCATGTAGCACACAAATCACTATA